AACCTTTACATCAGTTTGTCTAGCTCCCCAAACACGGCCGTAACGCATAGAGTCTATATAATCTGTATGGTCTGTACAGCTTCCCCTCCATCTCCGGCAGCTTCCTACTTACTCCTATTGGGTCGCCCATCGGCGCTGATGTCTCGGAGCTGAACGACATGCTCGGCCTGCAGCCTCTCGGCAAACGTCGCAAATCTGGCGGCCTTGATCTTTCCGAGGGGGAGCAGCAGCGCCTTCACCCTCGCGGGAGCAATGGGAAGCAAAGGGTCCAAGCTCATTCTAGCATCTGGAGTCGCTCAGCATCGTCCTCAGGGCCGCCTTTGTCAGAGATGCCGCGGTCGTCGCAATGCAGGAAGGTTTGGGTTAGCTATTGAAAGGCGATGCGCATATTCCGGCAGAAATCTTGGTCGTCGACTGCGTAGGGGATTGGTGGAGGTTGATATGAAGCCGCTGGACCCTCTCCCTAACGAGGTATGTTGGTCTTTGTGTCCACCGATTCCAACAGCTTGTCGCACGTCCCACTCGTGACCCCACTGGGGTTTGCGGAGCTTTATCGTGGACGATAAGGGATGACGTTGCTTAAGTACTGAGTTTGTTTGCATCCAAATAAATAACAGGCATGGCTTCAAAACGATAATAGGACCATTTTATGATCTCATGTAGGACCAAGAAAAAAATTGGCACATAAATTTCAAGGTGTTGTTACTACCTATCAAATGCGATAAAGTCTGTACATCTACAAAGCGTGGAGTAATGACTAAGCACCCAAAAGTGGCTAGCGAGACCAACAGGTACGGAGAGGGCTCTCATGCAGGTACATTTCAATATGACACGGATAAGTGTCTCTCAGTGGTGTTCTATCAAATTCTACAAATACCAACTAATTCGCTAAATCCATTTCTTGTTTCGGCCCTAGCCGCAGCGAGCAAAGGTGGCTGAAGAGAGGTGGACAGGTATATATGCGATAATGTGATATCTTCGTAGACTGAAGCAAATATTCGATCATCTCGTAGAACGTGCATAGGTGAAAAAAAAAAAAAAGCCATACCCGACCAATAGTCTCCATATAGAGACTATTGAGTGCTTTCCTGATATGCCAGAGATGGCTTTATGCAACTAAGTACATGTAGGTGTTATGCCGCTGGCTACGTATACTAGGAGCGCCCTGGAGGAAATTGGCAAGGGTCAGGATTTTGGTAAGGGTAATAGTGACAATAAAATTTTGGTAAGGGCTCTGATCATGGTTTTTTACCTTCATAGTGATCGTATCAGTGCCATTCAATAACTACTAGTTCTTAATCCTTCCCCAAAAAAAAGAAAAAAGAAACCCTCACCCCCTGGGCAGCTTGGTAGTACTCAAGGGAGCCATTTCCATATGAGCTTCAGTAAACCGCCTACCTAAGTAACGAAAGAGGGCCTTCTAATGATAATGACTAACATCATATGCTCAAAAGAGACATGGACTCCATGTAGCCGAGTCAATTGCAATGCACGAAGCTTGGACACAGCCGCATGAGAAGGCGATGAGCGTATCTGACTGGTAGGCCAATAGGGTGTAATGCCGAAAGGAGGGCTAAAGACCATTCATGATTCACGAAAGCTGTACTAGTGGTCGGCTGATCAGTAGGTACATGTAGATTGGTTGTGAACCGATTAGTTGAGCAAAGGTCAAGTGGTACGCTCTCACCTACCAACTTGCAATTAGGGCTTTCCCTCTTCCCACACCCAATTAATTTTTTTTCTTTTACAGAGATCGTCATGTCCCAGGCTCATCAGCGGTATATCGCAACGACACATATAGTGGTGGCGTGATCAAAGTGTCAAACGTCATAATAGCCGGGCAAATGATGGTTTATACCTTCACAGACGGATATGACCATACTGTGAGACCCCTTGTTTCCAAGATCCTAGGCTGAATTAATGCGCTTACGCGTATAGATCTGCTATACACAAGGTTCTGTAAAAAACGAGTCATCATGAATGTAAACTAAATCATGACTCTTGTATTGGCAATACGTAGTATAGACATTTGTCAAGCTTGTAATGTAGGTAATTAAATGTGCATATAACGACAAAGTTAGCCGTGGTCAGATGTTACCCAGCGAACAAGCAGTATCGACTGAAATCGAGCTTTGATATCAGCTTCTATGTTACGATGGAGACGCCCGAGTCTCTCGACATTGTACGTTTTCGAATAGAAATGCTTTCTTACGTATGAAGCTCTGCCACAAGGAACTGCAACAATCCATTTCACCATGATGTCAATTGGGGCAAAAAACAACAACCGCAATTGTGGCAATCATCATAACGGGGCCAGCTGCTTATCACGGCCCGGCATCACGACGCACCAGCGTGTAGCAACTGGTTGGTAATCCATTACTGATACACTTTCTATACCCTCAGCTACGATTCATTTTATGTAAAAGATTTCTACCACCTCTAAAAACAAAACTTGAAAGTGAAAAACTAGAGTAGATTATCATTCCGGAACAACTCCCCGAAAGCCGATGAACAGACTGATCTGAAGATTCACAATCTTCAAAATAAGCAAGTGGTTTGCTTCATCGGCATCAGCATCGGTTCGGCTACTGCGGCCACATTGCGGCATAGAATTATCATGATTCCATAATCAAACATGAAACAAGGAATAGAGGAAGAAAAAAAAAACATAAACTTTCAAGCCAGCTAGTCATGACATTTCACGTCATACCCGGCTGTCGCACCTATAATGCCGTACAAGTCATGTCGAGAGTTATTAGCTCAGCGTATCCGGTTGTTCTGCCACGTTTTTTTTTTTTCTTGGACAATCCACCAGTGGGTATGATCTTAGCATCAGACCCGTATAACCCTTCAATCGGGACCCATCTTTCTCCGGAACGAGTAATAAGTATTGTAAGCTTCCTTGCGTTAGCGAAAAGCACTATTTACAGAATGTGGCCCCACTGATTAGTTTTTTTGGGGGGTGGAATAAGGTGAAAAGGGTATGAAGTCATAAGAAAAGAAAAAACAATCTAAAGTCCATGGCAACAAAAGTCAAAGGTTCCGAGTCATGAGACGTGAATAGCAATCAGCTATCTCAGTCTAGCGAGGGTGTATGTAGCTACCTAATGCATCTCTAAATGAATTTTGGGGGAAACCACGCAAAGCAAGCCCAGATTCAGCTCGAAAGTGGCAAAAATTTCTCCAAGTTCTAAAAAACACCACACCCCCAAATTTTACCCCAAAGAACATAGGTACGCAATATCGACCTGGAGCTAAAGAATGAAACCAAAAAAAAAAAAAAAAAAAGGCACGCACGGTGTAAGCTAACAGAACAACCTTCACGTCCATGACGCCCGCTAGTAAGGTGACTTCATTCCCAGCTTCAAATATCCAAGCCGAACCAAGTCCCGACGAGAAGTTCATCGCTGATCGGGGTTAATTCGCAGACATCGCGGCATATGCAACTCAAATTAGGCATATCCCATCATGCTTTAGCATCAAGCAATATTGCCTCAGAATGGCCATGACCAGGTCATCAGACTTTAGATCAAGTCTAAATAGTTAGCACGCATCAAAGGGTCCAGAGTTAGGTACCAAAGCAACAGCAACACGCAATATTAAGGAGTGCCAAGATATCTGATCGAGGATCAAAGCAACACGTTAAAAAAAGGGCACATGCCAAAAACAGCATCGGACGTCGCTCTTTAGATCCAAGAGTGGGGGCCAAATTTAAATCAGCCTCTGGTGCATTACATAAGATTACATAAGGCACATGCACTCGTCGTCGTTTAGCTTTCGTCCTTATTCTTCACCATCCACCTCCTTGAGCACTTATCCTACCTATCAAAACAGACAATGCACGAATACAAGAAATAGGAAAGTGGTCGTAAACGATAGACATCACTCTGCTTAAGCCCGAATCCTTCGCACGAAATAGTCCCCTGTGATTCGTCATACTGGCAAGCATCTCGCCCGCACTATGTGTACTTAGTAAGGGACTTTTCTCGTAACGGCTGTAAGGAATGCGGAGTATTAATAAGCTCTTCATTTACAGCCCTATTGGGCGCTGCTATTTTCAGCCCCCCCGATATGTATTAGCCTGGGTGATCTACAGCCAACCGCCAATCACCAAAAAAAAAGGACCAGCCCTGGAGAGCTCGGACCGAGCTCCGGGCTCGGTTATGGTGGGCAAAGGGAGCTCCCCAAGTACCCGCAAAGTACAAACGAGTCTTTTGCTCTCAATGGGTATCAATTTTCAACAGCCATAAGGCGCTATTTTTACATGTACGTAGGCGCAAAAGCCAAGATGCTTCATGCTTTCATACCATCCAACCATTACACTACTAGGTACCCAGGCCAATATGTTGAAAAAAAAAAAAAGGGTGGCAGACCGGCGGTGTTTTTCTTTCCACCGCGCCAAGGCCTAGAGGCCCCCCCCAAAGCAGGGTACACGCAGCTACCAAACTCATACAAAACGCATCGCATCTTAAGCTTTTTTCCAAGCAACTGCAGCTTCGGAAACGGGCGTTTTTAACGCAACACACGAAACGGACAATTTCGTGCCCAGATCCGGATCGACATTCCATCTCTTTTACGTGTATTTTTTTTGCATGTGCCGTAAATGCTCATCTCGACGACGTATGTGCAATTGCTTGTTGTGGAATCAATGGCCCGTGTATTGTTGATTCCAGCTAATAGGTATAAGTAGTGTCTATGGTTGGGTAGATAGAAAAGGGTGTATGTGTTTTTTTTTTTTTTTTGGTCAGTACCGGATCGTGTGCAGCAAAAGGAAAAAAAAAATTTGGCGCTCGGAGTCAGAAAGCAGAATTTCCCAGAATCCGCAAATAAAACACCAAGCTTTCCTCTCACGTTCGCTTGGTGTGTTGACTTTTCCTGAAAGCTTTTGAGATTCGTGTGAAATGCAAGAAACCCCCTGAAAAAAATTGTTCCTTAGCCTAGTAATTTGTCGCGCTGCTCCGTAGGTACTTTTAATAAAATTGCAATCTCCTATTTCTCTCTCATCGTCTTTCCTCCTCCTGTCCTGCTTGGCCAGATGGCGTGGTCGATAGTCCCGTAGCGGGCGTTTGGCTAGCACCACGATTCCTATCGTCTCTAGCCTCTTCGGTCAATTCGCTCTCAAAGATGTCGACAGCAAGGCTCGCTTCGACAAAGTCCTCCATTTCCTCCGTGACGGTCTTTAATTTCTCCTTGACAGCAAGGGCCCCCTCCGTGCCGACAATGTGTCGTGACGGCGGGTTCTCGTGGCCACCAATGGCCGTCAGTGCGTAAATGGTCTCGTTGACTAGCTTGTCGATGGAGGATGGTGGTAATTTGGGATAGCGGTAAAAAATCTCACCCACAGCTTCGCCCGGCTCCAGTGAGACGCTGTCGGGTGACGTAGCGGACATGTCGATATCCGGATTAGCCGGTACCGCCGTGTCAGGATGCGAGTTGAGGACCGTGGTTAGCATTTCGCGGACGCTGGGGGCCTCTGCGAAGCTGCTCGCATAGGCGGGAATCTGCGGCGCAAAGGCGATGCGGTTCGTGAGCGACTGGATCTCCTTGTTGGGTTGCACGATGGTGACCTTGATGTTGAAGGGCGCAATCTCGTACGCGAGCGAGTCGCAGAAGCCCTCGAGCGCCCACGTCGCCGCCGTATACATGGACATGTGCGGCGTTCCGATGTGGCCGCCGGTGCTGGTCAGGACCATGATGTGGCCCGTATGCTGGGCCCTGAGCTGTGGCAACGCGGCCTTGATGAAGTTGACCTGGGAAAAGAACAGGGTCTCGAACTGGTCCCTGGCCAGGCTCTGGGTGGCGAGATTCGTCGAAAGTTCCTCGACGGTGCCGACAACAGCTAAGAAGATCGGACAAATCTCGCGGTTAGCAACATGATCTGCTCAATCAATTTTCGGTCTCCTCTTTCGATCGATGCTCTCTCTCCTCTCTCTCTCTCTCTCTTTCTCTCTCCTCTTCTCTCCCCCCCCTTCGGATTCGGATTCGTCCCCGGAGTAGTCGCACAGCCATGCGCGCGAATGCATGGGGGGGTCCAAGTAGTATTGTGTTTTTGTTCTTCTCCTTCTGTAGTTTTTGTTCTTTTCTTAGACATACCTTCAGACCTGCAGCACAGCAGGATATCTATTCTTCCAAACACCTCGACGGCCTCGGCAACCGCGGCGCCGCATCCACTCATAGTCCTCCCATCGCAGCGAATTCCGCGGATCCTGTCCTTCCAGCCCTCCCGGTCTTTCCGTCCGCTAGTGCACTCGTCGATGAGTTCACGAAACTCGGCACTTCGTTCCTCATGTTCAATCTCCAAGGGAGGGAAGCAGGCCGCGACGCTATCGCCGTGAGATAACAACTGCCGGATCAGACGAACGGTCAAGGGCGACAGCGATGCCGTCAGAAGCCACGTGCGAGGCGAGTTATGGGTCGCTGTTGGGCTCTCTTGGTCAGCCATTTTTGATGCTTATTGCTCGTCCCGTCCCAAACATTTTACGAAAGAGACGAGGGGAGGAGGGCAATTGAAAGTGATTGACAGGCCACACACGTGAACATTTGGGTGCAAATGGTAGAAAAAGAAGAGGAAAATTAGCAGGGAGAAAAGGAGATTGTACTGGAGGCAAAAAGGAAGGAGAAGAAGAGGAACGGGTTGTTTGAAATAAGTGATCAGAGCTCGAGCCGGCCGGAGAGTCAGGCAGATTTCAAGCTAGTCCAGATGGTGAACCAAAGGAAAGCAAGGGAAATGAGAATAAAAAGAGAGGAAAAGGGTAAAGTCCCCCGGCGACAACAATAAAATAAAATAAAAAGCCGTCGAGGCAGAGCAGAAAAGCAAAGACAAAAGGGGAAGACGAATGATCGAATCAGGTAAAAGCCCCCTTTGGATTTGGGCAAGTAAATGCCAGTTCTGGCATCACCACGCAAAGAGGGCGTTGTGCCGTATACTGCCCGGGCGATCGCCACCAAGGACTGGGAAAAAAAGTGTATGTGTAGGGATGAGGTAAGGCAGGCCTCTTTTTTTTCCCTTTCCTCTCCTTTCTCCAGTAGGAAAACGCATACAATAAGCGAGGTTAAAAAAAAACTAAAAGGTAACGTACGAAAGGAGGGGTTTGGCGGTCGCGTCGTCGATGGGCCCGGAGTGACGTCCTGTGGCCGGCTGCTCTGGCCGCTCTGACCGCTCTGGCTCAGGGCGCGTAGCGGAGGTTGTAGGTGGCTCAGGCGCTGTCGCTGCGGCGTGCCGGCGGGCACGTTGCCACTATCGTTCCCTAACATGACAAATTCGCTCGGACCTGGGTCTTATAGGCGTATAGAACTCGCTAACGTCGATTCAATCATGCGCAAAATGGTCGAAAGCTCCAGTCTTTGACAACCAGGGGTAAGAAGAGTGAGCAAGAAGATATTGCTTGAAAACAGAGATGAGGATGGTAAAAAAAAGAAGAAATAGGAAATAAATAAAATAATAATATTGTAAGGAGCGAAGGAGAAAGGGAAGAAAAAAAAGAGGTGAAATCAGAATACAGACACACACACACACAAAGAATAAAATAAAAGTTCCAGTAAAAGAGTGTTTGAAAAGAGTGTAGAGAAAGAAAGATAGCGTACACACACAGACACGCAAGAAATAAAAGAGAGTTGGGCACCTCTCAAGAACAAATCCGAAGGGGGAGGAGAGCGCAGAAGCATTATTATCAACGAATACTGTTGTTGCTCGCTCTTTGGTCGACTGAGTCGTTACAACCAGGCAGCATCACGCCTGGCGTACGAAGCGGGAAAGGGGAGCGGCAATAGTAACATTTTCATAACAACAGCGGATCAGCCATCAGGTCGGGAGCTCGCTTAACTCATTCATGGACGACCGGGTCCCCGAGCGGTAGAGTAGCCTGAATCCATCACCACGAGAACTTCTAGTATTGGGCAGTGTTCCACGTCCTCCCACCCCACCGGCCCGAACTTGGAGATAGTCCCGACACTTACAAGGCCATCGCCGTCCATAGGGCTGGCCTTCCATGGTAAGCTTGTTTTTTTTTTTATCCTCTTTTTTTTTCGATGACACGGGGGGGGCCAACATCAATACTGTACAGTAGACAAGGAAGACAAGCCCGGCGAGCTTGGTGGGGCCGGGTACATTGTAGGATGTGGCTCGCGACTTTTGGAAGCACGAGCTGCCCATGGGCCTGACTCAGAGGGCCGCTCATTATCAGTATCGAGAAGCAGAATTGCAAGTGCCGAGAATTGTGCTGCCAAGCACTTGCAGCGTCTAAGCCACTAGTCGTATTGCAGCCCCAGTTGCTGGGACGTTGCACAGCTGATGTTCGAATCGGACCCGTCAGCCTTGCATCGAACGACGAAGTGGCCCCTGCAGCCGTCCGTATCTGGAAACTACCAGCTGATATACGGCCTTGATGGCGCCAGGGATTGGCGCGTCTACCTGTGGCCGCCGTGCATAAGAGCCTATGAGGGTTGAGCAGCGTCCCCGTCCCTTTTGCGGTTGTCGTTCAATGTCACTTTCGGGGCTTTCGGTGCGGCCGGGTACGGTGCCGGCTCGACCAACGGCGCACTGGCTGGACATGGGCGCTGCTGGTGCTGGATCAAGATCTCTGGACCCCCGATTCCGGGTCCGCGCTATCCCGCCGCGCTATACCCAGCCTTGTCGTTGCTTCCTCACTTGCCGAAGCCTGCGAAGGGCCTAGGGCCGCTAGCAGTTGCGCTGTCACGGACCCGGCGGGCGCTGGAGCCGCCCCAGCCTGCGCTCTGCTGTGTTTCTGCCTCTGCAAGCAGTGACAGGCGGCGTCACTAAAAGTGTTCAGCTGACTGACTCGCAGTTGGGAGGCAAAAGGGCCTACTTGGGCAGCTTGAGTCAAGCATCGTTGGATTCCTTATCAAGGATGCATCTGTCGCAGAAACGCCAGAAGGAAAACCCCCCCCCCCTTGGAGGCGCGGAATTAGCGGCAGACGCAGCTTGCTGCATGCGGCCAAAAATATCGCAAAGCTGCTCTCTTTTACGCATGGCATGCCCCCCCCAGCAACATCCATATATTCACTACTGCACGAGTAATTACGAGTAATTACGAGTTAATTAGGCCCAATGCAGCTCCGTCTCTGTCGTGTATCATTTGATTTACACTGGCGGGCCAGCGGCGGCCGGAACAACGCTCGGCAGCCCCTGCTTGGCGCTCCCCGGATGTCGTCGGCGATTACATAATCGTCTAGGTCCAAATAAGGCAAGCAGTGCATAATCAAATGGACAAAAGCAGCATGGGATGCACGCGAAGTTACCGGGAAACAAGCATATATTGAACAACGAGCATCATTTCGATGCGCTACGCATGTCGGCCGGGCCGTTGGTGCAGCCGTTGAGCCGGCCAAGAGCCTCCGAGTGCGCCATATTAATAGGCCAAGCAAGAAGACGCTGAAGAGCAAAATCGACAAGAATGAATGAAAAATCCCTAGTTTCCTCAAGTCTTGATGTCTGCCCGCTCCTCGCGAATGCTGTCGGGGGCGCCGAGTTCGGGCTCAGCATCAACCTGCTTTACAAGCTCCGTCACGCCAAACAAGTCGTCCATGCTTTCCAGACTAAGGCCCTTGGTTTCCGGCACAAAGAACCACACGAAGAGGCCCATGATGAAGCAGAAGCTACCAAACATGAAGAACATGCCCTAAGCGGAAGTAAGGAGAAAACGAGTCAGCGCGCTGATGCAGAGCGGATAGGAGACACGGGTGGGAGACACGGGTGTATGTGTGACGGATAGAGGACGGATAGGGGTCGGAACACTTACATAGCCAGCCTTGCCCATGGTGGCTTGCATGGTGAGAACGGCTATTCACGTCATTGGTCAGAAACTCGAAACTTGACGCTATTGGGTGACTTATAACTCCAGAAATGCGCCGTCGATGTACACTCGCGCCGACGCATGTTGATCGGAGATGGCAGAAGAAGAGGAGCCACTTACATCGAGCGCAAACAAAGTTGAAAAGCCATTGGGTGCCCGCCGCAATTGCCACGTTTGTGGCACGCAGTCGCGCAGTTGGGATCTCGCTGACCAGAATCCAGCAGACGGGGCCCCAGCCAAACTGAAACGAAGCGGCCCAGAGATAGATGCACGTTATGGCAACATATCCGAATGCGGTGACCTATAGCACGCAAGCTCGTCAGTCAACGGATTCAATATTCCATTTTCATCTTAGTTCCATTGCTGGAATAAGAAACCGTCGGCGTCCCAGAGGCCAAAAAGGCCAAAGCGAGGGGGGCAAAGGGTAAAGGGCGAAGGGCACGGCCACTTACAGGCTCTCCTTTGATGGGGGGCTGAACCCTTCCATAGATACCCACAATATAGAGGAAGATACCCTGGGAAGCAGCTGTCCAAAGCAGACTCCAGCGCCGGCCTAGCGAATCTGCCACAAAGACCAGGAAGACGAAGCAAGCTGCCGTCTTGACACAACCGTACACTCCGGTGGCGAATAGCTGCGAGTCATTGCCCGTCATCCCAAGATTGCTGAAGATTTGGGGAGCATAATAGTTCTATACGTCACGTTGTTTACGGATCAGCCAATGGTTTCTTTCCACTGCAACGCAATACAGGCGGCGACAAATCACAATGATGCTTTTGCCTTG